GATATCCTATTTCTCTCTGTCTGCAAAGCAACTTTGTTGTGGTAAAAAGCGACATATATATATATATTTAGAGAGAAAGAAAGATTGAGAGAGAGGGTTAGTCTCTCTATGTGTTCGCGATGTGTTCGCGAGTATTGGTCTATATCAAAATTTTTGTTTCCCCCCAATGTCCAAATTGCAATCAATTCCATTGGATAATGTGACTGAAAGTTTCCAAAATATTACGCAAATAAGTAATTGCGACAAAATCCCGAACATCTCAAGGTACTTATTGATTGTCATTTTTCTTCAGCAAGACATTTTACCTACATCAAATTACCGCTGATTTGGTTCGAAAATGTTTTGAGACATTCAAAATTCTTAAAATAGGTTATAACCCACATATAAAGGTTAAGAAGGTACCGAATTTTGGACTTATTCTGAAGTTATTTTTTTGGGGAAAGATTGTAGAAATTGAATACCTTTAGTACAGAATTTCAGCCAATTTAAAGCCGAAATTATCTGTTGGATAGTGTAATTCGAAAATTATCAAAATAGTACCAAAATCTAAATACTTACTACTAATTTTAGCTGAAGCCTTCAAAATATTGGAAATTAGGAAGTGTGACAATTACTCGTATATCTAAATGTGAACCTACTGTAACCACTTCAAAATATAAATCATTTCAATGGTCGTTGACAGACATTTGAAGGTATTTTGATATTTGCAAAAATAAATTTCGGTCACTGGGCCATAAATTGGTACAAGAATTATGTGAAGCGAGGCTTTCCTTTCGGATATTAAAAAAACCAAGTCACTGAAAATATCTCACCAAATATTAAAATAAGGTTCCGCCCTTTCTTTTAATCGCTATTCTAACATTTTCTATTTTAAAACTACAACAATTTTATATTCTTTATTACTTGACATATATTTTGAAAAAAAAAAAAAATAAATAAAAATAAAAATTATATTCAAAATAAAAAATATTAAAATAAAAAATCCCAAAATTGACAAACAAAAATACATTCCATAAACTTATTTTCTATTTATTTTGAAAACGGATAAAAAATAAAAAAAGAATCTTGTTTCATTTATGGATTTTATGGCTGCATGACAACATATGCCGTTTTCACCACAAAAGCAGAGAACATAAAATATAACAAGTCAGACGAAATTCGAGAGAAGTACAGAGAAAATCTCCGGAAAGAAACTAAACGAAAACAAATTTTATTTCCCAGAACATGAGGAAACATTTTTGTCCCCGAAAAAAAAGAAGTAAAGCCACAAAATATGCTATCATAAACACTGGAAACCGCATATCACAGTTTACTGTAATACGCACACAACATATGCCTGCCTGCCTGCTCTGGAAGAGAAGGGATGTGGGGGTCCTCTAGTTTTGGATGGCATTTTTGGTACAACAAAGAAAAAATCTCTTAGCTTGTGGTGTTCTATTTTTTTATTATTTAATATAACATATGTTAAGGCGTATTACATATGTTTTGCTTTTACCATTCATAGTTTTTTTTCTAATGCAGTTAACCGGTCTTGGAATGATGGAATTAGTCAACGACAAGTGTATTAGAGTAGTACAACTTTTGATGGTCACATTTTTCGGGGGGTTTTTATGGTCAAAATGGATGAAGAGAAGGAACAAAGAGAGAGAAACTAAAACGAAATCAAAACCATTTTGTTGTTTTCTGTAATTTACCCCAAAGAACTATGGTAAAATAGTCATAAGAAGTTTTTTCTTTTAGTTAATGGCCAAAAACTTCTTAGCTTAAGGGAGGAATGCTTTAAAAAAAGGTTGCCAGTGTTGGTGTATAATAATGGCCATAATGGCAGCAAGGATAATCAAGCAACATCCCAGATAGCATAAAAATAACTTCAAATAAAAAAGTGATGTTTTGTCTAATTGCGTTACGCCCAATCCAAAAATAAATTCTCTCTAAACGACTGCTTTGTATATTTTAGTCAAGAGTTGGTTGGTCGGCTATACATAAATTATGATAAATTATAAATTATTAGCTTGAACCTTTCAGGAAATTCCGTTTATTTTTGGGCAACTTGTTTTGCTGGCTGGCTGGCTGCCTGTTTGGTTGCCTTTCAGTTTCAGTGGTTTAGCTAGTTTCCCAATTTCCCATTTTGTATACAATGTTGTAGGTGCAAGTGGTTGCCCCATAAAATTAAGCCAACAAATTTTATGGTTTTGCCCTCTACGCTGCCACCTCAATTGTTGGGTGGGGTGATGAGGGTCTCAAATTTCAAGCATTATGTTTTGCTCATTTTATTAACTATCCTGTTGGATGTTCTATTCCATGATTTTTTTTTTCAAACATAATTTTCTACGTGCTCAAACTTTTATGACCCGCTAATGTACGTGCTTAAATTTTTGGCGAAACACCACGAAAAACACAAATATTCAGTTTTATCCTTTAGCTGGCACTCTCTCTCGCGCTCTCGGTCGCTTGCTCGCTCGCTGTATAGCTCTTTCCTGTTATATAAAACCATAAAAATACAATTTGGTTGTAAATGCCACCATTGTTGCTGACTGGCTGGCAGGATTAAATGCTAAACTTGTTTAAACAAATTTAAAAATTTTAACAACGTCAAATTTGCTGTAAATATTGTCACACTCAATGTATGTTTACAAAAAATTCTATGATAATAAATTTATTTAATTTAAAATATGTATGTAAAATAACAATTTTTATCTCCACAATTTATGCAAAACATTTTACTTAGTTCTAAATTTAATTTTACTATGACAAAAAAATATTAAAAAAAAAACAAACAATTGAGAACTATGAGAATAAACTGTAAATGACCCTTAGGGTTTTTGCAACAATTATTCCACATACAAAATATGCATGTTAGTTTCGAAATTTTATTGCAAAAAAAAAAAAAAAAAACAACAACTTCATGAAAATTGAGAGTAATGGAAATTATTGTTATTTATTTGGCCAGTTAATAAATTAATACATAATTTATAATGGCCCTGCGACTGCGACATATGTCTGAGCAAGTTATTTAAATTTCGAACATAAATTTTACGTAAAATCTAGGCATTACAAAGATTCGTAAAGTGGACAGTGAAGCAAATTGAAAATATATAAAAAAAAAACACATTTGAAAAAGGGGAAGTTTAAAACATGGGATTCCGGAAATCAATTAAACGTTTTTGGCTGGGTCATGGGACCAAACGTGGAATTTTAAACAATATTTTTTAAGGACTAAACGTGGAATTTTAAGGATTATGTTTTCAAGGATCAAAAGGACCTAATTTTTTAAGGACCTAATATGGATTTTTAAGTAATATTTTTTCAAGGACCAAAAGTGGATTTTTAAGGAATATTTTTTAAAGACCAACAGACCAACCAACTTGGATTTTTAAAGAGTATTCTTTTCAAGGACCAATGGGCCAATAAACCCGGATTTTAAAATATATTTTTTCAGGGACGAACAGATAACTGAATTTTTTCAAGGACCGACAGACCATTAAACGTGGATTTTTAAATAATATTTTTCAAGGACCAATAGACCAATAAACGTGGATTTAAAAAAAATATTTTTTCAAGGACCAACAGACCACTAAACGTGGATTTTTAAATAATATTGTTCAAGGGCCAATAGACCAATAAACGTGGATTTAAAAAAATATTTTTTAAGGACCAATAAACCAATAAACGTGGATTTAAAAAAATATTTTTTCAAGGATCAACAGACCACTAAACGTGGATTTTTAAATAATATTGTTCAAGGGCCAATAGACCAATAAACGTGGATTTAAAAAATATATTTTTTTAAGGACCAATAGACCAATAAACTTGGATGTTTAACGAATATTTTTTCAAGGATCAACAGACAGGATTTTTAAATAATATTTTTTCAAGGATCAAAAATCACTAAACGTGGATTTTTCAGAAAACATTTTATAAGAAAACATAAAACGTGGACTTTAAAAGAAGATATTTTCAAGGACTACTGAAGGTGAATTTTTAAGTAATATTTTTTCAAGGGCCAACAGACCACTAAATGGGAATTTTTAAAGAATATTTTTTAGAACTTGGATTTTGAAAGAATCTAATTGTGCTTATTCGCTTTAAAAAAATGTTGCTCAGGTGTTCAAAAAGCTGTCTCCAATATAACGTTTCATAAAACTACTTTTTTTATTTTTTTCGATTTCTGGCTTTTAGGATAGCTTTTCTTTATTCTGAAACCCATAGCAAAATTTCATGACGATTTTTAAAATCGTAAAATACCCCTGTAAAGATTCTACTAAGAGTTAATCTGTTCTACCGTAGAAAATTCCACTAATTTTGGACACTAATATTGCCCAAAATCCCATGTACACAAAAGATATGGATTTCTAGGATGCTTAACTCAAATATTTTCAAAAATGTGAAAATGTGCGGAATTTCCCCGCCTAGCTTTTTCGTCTTTCTGAAATCTTTGAAATAAATAAAATCTCTTCCCTTACTCTCAATTTACATAAGTTAACAATGTTTTTTTTCAAATTTATCACTTATTCACCACAAATATTTTTCTATTGAAAAAAATTATATTGTATATAAAACACCGATATAAAATATTTAATAAATTTATTTAATTTCCATATAAGTTTAATGCAAAGAAACCAAAACTAGTTGCATACCATTATAGCTCTTTTTAAAAACAATGTTTGAATATTTATATACTTTTTCAATTATACTACACCACAGTTAAATAATTAAATAGTTTGAGTTATATTTCCAAAAAAAAAAGCATTCATGAAATCATTTATTACAAAAACAACAACAACAAAACAATTAAATATCAAATTTTTTTTATTGTTATTTAAAAATAAATACAAATTCAGTTTTAGTTGCATCATTCAATTTCATTATAAAACCAAAAACAAAGCTAAAATTATTCTTTTCGATTGGAAATAATTTAATAATTAAATAATTTCTTACTTTTTCCTCCTCCTCTCACTATGAAATGAATTTTTCATATACCAAAAATTCGAAAATTATAGCCGGGTATCTGTGATGCGTGGTCAAGTTATAACACCCCAAGGCTTGGGCATTGTTGGCATTCGTGTATCCGTGGATCGTGATTCCAGATTTGGTTTTACCCTAACACGACAGGGTGGATGGTAAGTAAATGATAAATATTAATATATATTTTAAAGATAAATTAATTAATTAATATAAAAAAGGAATTCATAGGTTTGAGTATTAAAACTTAGGAGACGTATTTTTTTGTAATTAAATTTAATTTAAACCAAAATTTTTATTATGAGGGCCTAGGTTCTAATTATATTTAAATAAAAAAATAAATTTTCATTAGAACCAAGGGCATCAAAAAAATTGAGATTTAAATTTACAATTCCAAAAAATACATAAATCTGATATTCTCCGCAACTTAGATTAAAATAATATTTAAACCTAAACCAAAACTTATCATTCGGGGAATTTTTTTCTTCGCAACATAAAAAAAAACATCTCAAGGTTGTCTGTTTTGAACCACTTATCTCTCTGTCTCCTTCAGAGATTCATGTGTTTGTAATATATCAACTTAAATAATTTTCTTTTCTTCGAGATAAGTAAACCGGCTTCTTTTCTTTTTTTTTCTCAACCAAAAATTTCAACTGAAAAATACCATAGACATAATTAAATTACTTTTTTGTTATGCCTCAGTTATTTCTAATTCAGATTTGATTTCATTGAAAAGATAATAAGATTTTCTTTGATGTTTTTTTCTTTGCCAATACAGGGGGAGTGGGGTGCAGCTGAAAGTTTTTCAATGCAAAGATTTTCCCAAAATTGTTTAAAAACTCTATCATTACCCCAGAAAAATGTGGGAGGTTTTTTGCTTTAATTTTTTAACAGATAACGACTGTGCGGTGGGGAATTAAAATTTTCTTTTAAAAATAGACCTGAAAATTATATCTTCCAAAAAAAAAAAATATTTTTTTCAAAATAAATTGTTTCAATTGTATTGAAGCCTTGTTTTTGTATAAGACATTTAAAATATTTTTTATATAACAAAACAATTTGTATATGCCGCCCCCATATTTTTTATTATAGTTTATCTTTTTTGTGTCTGCCCTCTTGAATATCAGTTGTTTCTTTGTTGTTTATAAAAATAAATTAAAGTAATTTATCTTCAAGACAAAATACCACATTTGCTATACTTCCATGTGCATATATATGTTTCACAAAGGAAATCACAATAACCTCTAAACTGAAGGACAATATAACACGAGTAAGGACCAAAAGCAAAAAAGAAAAAAATAGAACGGAAATAACTACATTTTCCAACCGTAGTTAGATTATAAATGTAGAACAACGGTAATAAAATGTGATATGTATATTAGGGTGTAATGGAAAAATTTTGTAAAATTTGGCCTTTGATTCTCTAAAGAAAAAAATCGAATTCTGAGGGGTTGTAGCTGTGCTTTCTTTACAAACGGTACTAAAATTGACTATTCCGCGGTGCTAAGTGAACGGGTAAAACTGCATTTTTAAAATTTTAAATATGGCTGCTGTTGCTGTCTATGTGTATTTGTGGAAATTCGAACTAAATTAATATTTAAAAAACTAAATAACACTAAATGACTAACATTTGGAATATGGATTAAGAAAGAACACATTTTCAAGGACCAACGTACAACCTAACGTGGATTTTTAAAGAATATTTCTTCGAAGACCAACAGACCACTAAATATGGATTTTTAAAGAATATTGTTTCAAGGATCAACAGATTCCCCAACCTAATTAAAAAAATCGGGGACCAACAGATCACTAAACGTAAATTTTAAAAGGATATGGAATAATAGACAGAAGAATACTGGATAAGATAAAATGCTGCAGCAAAGTCAAACGACATATATTTTTACATTTTTTTTCGAAATTTTATTGAATGAAAGCAAAAAGTGTCGGAAATAGCATCAAATTTTAGAATTAGTTTAGACTCGTTCGAATTGGTCACCTTTGGCACGAATTATGGCCTTCAAACGGCCAATGAAACCGTCACACGCTGCCCGATTGTTTTTCTGCGGCATTTTGGCCCATTCCCGGCGAAGCGCTTGCTTGAGATATTTTTAGTGCCAACTTTGCTTTCCAAAATACTCCAGACGCAATAGTCCAACGGATTGATATCCGGAGATTTTGGTGGCAATTGTGCGCTGGAAATGAAAAGAGGAACCTCATTTCGCATCCATTCTTGGGTGGCGTGAGGTGGGTGCTGAGTGCGATGGTGCTGAGTCCTGTTGGAATGTCCAAGGTCTGCGGCCAAAATGTTCGCGTGCCCAAGGCTTCAATATACCCTCCAGAATATTTTCGCGATAATATTCGGCATTTATTCTAATGCCACGGTCAATTAATATAAGCAGAGAGCGACCATCGGCTGTTATGGCGGCCCACACCATCACCATGCCCACCGTTTGAGTTCTGGTGGCCAACCGGAGCTGCACATTTTCAACTGACCTCTTTGCCAAGTAAACACGATCACTTTGTTTGTTTGTTTACAAACAGCTGAACAACGAATGTTTTCTCATCGGAGAAGCTGAGGCTTCACATAGAGAGAACGGTTCGATTCTAAAAAGTACTTTTCTATTGAAAAAATTTCTTTTCTATTGGAAAAAGTACTTTTCTATTGAAAAATGTACTTTTCTATTAAAAAAAGTTCTTTTCTATTAAAAAAAGTTCTTTTCTATTGGAAAAAGTAATTTTCTATTGAAAAATGTATTTTTCTATTAAAAAATGTATTTTTATATTGAAAAAAGTACTTTTCTATTGGATAATGTATTTTTCTATTTAAAAATGTATTTTTCTATAGAACAATTTATTTTTTTCTGAACGATAAATCAAGTAACTTTGCATTTTTTAGCTTAGTATTATTTTAGCATGTACCTGGAAAGCCTTTTCAATATCCCCAGTTGCTGAAGATGGTCTTAGGCCCAATTGAGGATATAATTTCCTCATTAACATTTGTTGTTTTGTTTCAATAAATAATTATTTTTAATTTTTTTAGTGTCCATTACACTCTAATAATCCCCATAAATAATATTGGCCACAGTATCATGCTTACATGACCACAGCAACACTTACATCCCTTATAGTGATTCTCATCTGGTGCTTTTTTTTTGCTCCTTTGAACAACCAGCCAACCAGCCATCAGTGCCCAAAAAAAGAACATGTGTTGTGATGAGATTTTTAACATGGTATCTTCTTAAGACGATGCCTTTATGCAGTGGAAGACGAAGAAGATGAAAAAAATAAGAAATCCAATTTTGTTGAACCATTTCCTTTGTATTGTCTTGCCTTTGATAAGGACAAATAAAAATAAAAATGAAGGGGAGGAGAACTCGGCCATGAGTGACTGAGTGAGTGAGCGACTGAATGAATGAATAGTAGAACAACAAAGCGAACTAAACTAAAGGATACAAGTTCCCGTTGAGTGTCCGTGTGTGTCTTATGTGTCACAAGTATAAGTGATAGCTTGTTGTATGTCCTTAGTTTGACCGTATACACAACACTCACTGCTACACTTTGTGGGATATATATATATATATATATATATATGTGTGTGTGTGCGTTTCATCTCATTTTAACTTACTTCTTTGATATTTGTATATTTCCCCATACATTTATATACCAAGGATTTGGGTTATTTACTATATCATCATCGTCATCTTATTCTTCAATTCGTTTCACAGTTCAAAAGACTTATTTCCACTTGAAGGACAAATTTGTTTGCTTGTTTTTTTTTTTTTTTTTTTTTGGATTATTTTTATAAGGAAATTGCTTGCATTTCCTGTTTAACCAAACAAATATGATGATTTTAAATGTAAAGCAAAAAATGTATACATATATTTTGGCATAATCACAGACCATAAGATACTAATGGAGGTTTTATATGGATATTATGCAAATTACAAAAGGTCTGTGAACAATGTATGTGGCCTCTAGCTGACCTTTTGTGTGAATCAAACAAATGTCTAAAGATGTAGAATTGATTGGGGGTAAATATTATATGACAACGAAAAATTAGGAAGATCCATCTCATAAGGGACAAGGGCCGGCTCTATCGTGTTGCGATTCTATTTTTAGTCCAATTATATAGCAATTTTTACTCATCGCCGATTCCGAACAGCCCAATTTCCATGCAATAATGTTTCCAAGCAATTATTTGCCTTATAGCAAAAACACCATCGCTTTTTCTACAGTAGCGCATGTTTTTATCAATGTAAAGCTTGTTCATGTATGTGTAAAATAATCGAAATCCATGTATAATTTAATGTCGATTGTACGGGGAAAAGTAAAAAAAAGAAAAATTGCAAAAAAAGAACTCTACAACTGTAATAATGTGTCTACTATTGCATTATTCGACAAATACTACATGTTCCAACACTTACACATGACCGCCATTAACCAGAACACAGCAATGGCATGGTAACATTAACAACTGAATACGGGTGTAGTAGTGCTTTTAATTAAATTGTCAGATTCATTTTATGTGCTGTTATTTATTTTTTCCTCCGTTTTTTATTTCAACACAAATACTGTTCTATATATTTATTTTTTTTTTTTACTTCTCGATATTTTTACACCAGCAACTATATTTGATTACCCTTCCATTGTCTGTATGTGTGTATATCCTACCAATCACTGTAATTTGGCCAAAAGCAAAGACCTTGTTATGCTACTGAATTGTTGTTATGCTACTGAAATGGATTTTAAATGGAAACTACAGCATGTTATTTAAAAAAAAATAACTGTAATGCTTTAATAATTGTTGAGGGGCGTTTTTTTGCAATTAATATATCAAATTAAATAAATAAAAAATATGAAATATTAATATGTTGTGAAAGTGGGCCCAGTGGCAATAATTAATCTTTAAAAATCTTTACTGGCTGTTAAACATATTGTGGGCATGTCACTTAGTAACATGTTGTGTTTTGAGTCAAATATAAATAATTTTCACAGATTTTCTTTTAAGTAAACGAAAACGTAAATTTAAGTAAAAATAGAGTATCTTAGAAATGCAAAAAGTCTAAATCAGTATAAATCATTAAATTTTGTACATGTTTTAACAGAAGAGTCACGTCCTCAGTATTCAGTTTTTTTTAAAGTGATAAGAAATCGCCAA